TATGCTGCAGCAGCTGGAAAATTTCTCCACAGTCCCCAGTTTTAATATAACTTCAAAGGAGTTTTCAGGTACTGGGAATCTTTAGATAAAGCAAATAACATTTTAACATTGTTAACTTTGTATGCCTAAACTAGTTCTGCCTTACCATTCATATTCCATGGATTATTCACTATAAAGGTCAAACCAGTGCTGTTCACTAGCTTACAGACAGACTGTTTCACAGTAACATTCCAGTAGTTGCTTGGATCTCATGAGAAAAGCTCATCTAAAGTAAGACCTATATTGTTTCTTCTTTCTACTGAACCTGAAAAACTGTTCATTAATACATTTCCTATTAACTAGCAAGACATGTATAAATCATTGCTAAAATAAACTGAATAGTCTGCTACTACCATTCCCAACTGGATTTCATAGCAATGATTTTACAAGTCCAGGAACAGCAGCAAGGGAGCTGGGAAGAAGACACAGAAGATATTAAATGTACAAAGTAGTGTTAATTGTGAAATTTTATTTTATTTTGTTTGAAGTCACAGAAGAGGGTAGAAAATAGAGACAAATCGTTGGATGTAAATAACAAACCATAGATGTAGAGTAATTGAACAAGATAAAAAACCCACCTAGCTTAAATTAATACTTTATACGAGAAAACATATATATGGTATAAAAGCTAAATTAGAACTATGATTTTCCAGGTCAGGCATATGCTTCCTTAGTCCCTCAAAAAAAACCAAAACCCAACCCTTAAAAGAATATTTAGTTTGGAATGGTGTTAATCCTGGACAATGGTAGCCTCTAAATGCACTTAATGCTCTCCTAATTTCTGGTATGAAATAGCTGAAATAAGAAATTTAGAAAATGTATATTTGAGATATTCCACCAATTCCACACTGCTATTTAATAAACAGGTCGATTTATTATCATCCAACCTGACTTTTGACCACCTACTCAACCCTAACTTTGAGCTCTTAAATCACTGACTTAGAATAAGTGATTCAAGGTCTTAGTAACAAATTAATAGTTCTTCTGGAATACAAACACTTACTTTTATAATATAATACACTGTACTAGAAGGTTCATTCAAATCTAGGTAATTTCAGTTACATTCCTATGGCTTTTTAGCAAAAGAGCAAGCAGTTTTACTGTATGTACACAACATTGAACATAAAGATTTAAATTAATTATTTATTAATAACCTACATTCACTGTGGATTTCTAAGATTTACATCCAAAAAGCATATTTTATTTACATACTGTTGATATTTTAAAGAAAATGAAATAAAATCTTATCTGTTCAGGAATTATGATCTATCCCAAATCGAAAAACATATTTAACACAACATGTTTAAAACATTTACAATAAAAGACAGCTTTCTGTGCCAATTACACTTACTGTCTAAGAACGTAAAATTGCATTGATAACTGCACTAACTACAATTAGACTTGAAACATTTAAAACCTGAGAGTCAAATCTAAATTTTTTTTTAAAAAAAAAAATCCAACAAGCTAACATGCCCTAATGTTAATTTAAGCATAGATTGGTCAGTAAGAAGAAAACCCAAAACCAACAGTGCACTATTTCTGCAGCTCCAAAAGAACAGATCACTATAAAACTGTTCATAGAATCATAGAATGGTTTGGGTTGGAAGGGACCTCAAAGATCATCTAGTTCCAAACCCCCTGCCATGGGCAGGGAAACCCTCCACTACACCAGGTTGCTCAAAGCCTCATCCAACCTGGCCTTGAACACTTCCAGGGATGGGGCATCCACAACTTCTCTGGGCAACTTGTTCCAGTGCCTCACCACTCTCAGAGTGAAAAATTTCTTTCTTATATCTAACCTAAATCTGCCCTCTTTCAGTTTAAATCCGTTGCCCCTTGTCCTATCACTACACGCTCCACGCTCTTGTAAAAAGTCCCTCTCCAGCTTTCCTGTAGGCTCCCTTTAGGTACTGGAAAGCTGCTATAAGATCACCCTGGAGCCTTCTCTTCTCCAGGCTCAACAGCCCCAGCTCTCTCAGCCTGTCTTCATAGGAGAGGTGCTCCAGCCCTTGCATCATCTTCGTGACCCTCCTCTGGACTCGTTCTAGTAGCTCCATGTCCTTCTTGTGCTGGGGACTCCAGAGCTGAACACAGTATTCCAGGTGGGGTCTCACGAGAGTTGAGTAGAGGGGCAGAATCACTTCCCTCGACCCAACTATTGTTGCAGTAGTTTGATAAATGCCAGGCCTGCCAGCTATAGTAAGGTTCATTTTGAAATGTCCTTTCCTACACACTGTACCTAACCAAATAATGAGTGTCTTCGGGCAATTCTGGTGAGGGTTCCCGTATTTGTGTAAGCATGCATTTGCTTAAGTATGCATCCAGGATCTTTGAGGTTTCCCACCTCAAACATACATATACAAGTGTTTAAAATAGCTAGATCAGAGTGGAAAAAAAAAAAAGAAAAAAAGAGGAGGCATAGAAAGTTAGAAATACTGGCCAGAAAACATTCAAAGTCTAATGAGAAGTTTTATACCAACCCCAAAGGCATTTTAAAGTCAGCATAGCTCTGGAGCAGTATTCACTGTATTACTAAACACATGTACCTTACATTTAAAGAAATAAAATAATAAATGGTTGTGCTAACAGGTACACTTTGATGCACTGCAGGATGTAAAAAGTAACCACACCTATAAAGCCTGGGGAAGAGAAGCACTACACGCAAAGTTACTCCATTTCATAGTGGCCATTTTATTTCTGCATGTGGAAACATTATGCTCCTTTTTGAGTGACATAGGTTTCCCGTCCCTCCTTGCATCCTTCAGAAACTGTGCTTGACCGACAGCATCTCCCAGGAAGGGTTTGAGAAGGATTCTCTCATTCTGGACCTGTTTCCACAGCCCAATAGTTTGCCCTACTCATGCAGATGGTCGGCAATATAGTAGTGGTCATCCCAGGCTGAAAGCAGGCAAACTGCAATGGATCAGCCTCTACAGGCAGTCTTGCTCCACAGACTATCCAACAGGTTGCATTTAACTAAACTGACATACCCTGGGTCCCAGAAACTCTTAGCTTAAATGACCACCAACACCATTCACTAGAATAAACACATAAGTATCTGTAGCTCCAAAACAAAGTTACTCCTGCATTTCACAGGGACTGATCTTTGCCATTTAAGATGGGAGCATGTCCTTAGACACCATATGGCAACACATGCAAGTCTCCTTACGCCACATGAACCTAACTTGTAATTTGAAAATTAGATCTGTTTTACTACTACTTCACCTCCTTCACTACTAAGACAATGTAAAACCAACTCCCAGCATAAGCTTTTTTACTGGGTTTAGCATCTTTCTTTTCTAAGGCACTCGCATGAACAAGCACACAGGTCCATTTATTTACACAGAAATAAAATCAACAATGTGGCAAACATGCTTTTAAGTAATAAGAAAAACATGATACCTTCTAGTTAGGTACCCAATGAAGCACTTCCCAATGTGTGTGTTTGTTTTTTCCGAAAACCAAAACATTTCTACAACTTGGTATGTTACAGTGGGTTATATCAGGGATTTTTTCGGTATGCTTTACAGAAACTTCCTCTAAAAAAAACCCCAAAACTCAATGAAGGTAAATAGCTACAAAGTTTTGTCATTCATTGACATAAAGCAGCAGACACATTGAAGAACATTCTGCTATTAATACATAGCAAATCAAACTTTTTCTAGTATTTGAGTTTAAGACAGTGTGTTTTATCCCTTTCATTCTGGAATACAAGTAGATTAATTTTAATTAAAAAAAGAGCAAGTCTATACAAATAAAGAGAAAACTGCAGGAGTTAGAATATATGTGACTTCATGCAATGATACTATGCTTCCTCCCCAGAAACATACAAGATTTCAAAAGTCATCCTTTGTGGAAATAAATTCTTCCAGACTACTGGAAAAAACAAAAAACCCCCAAAACCCCCCACCCACATTCAATACGCTACTAAGGTTTTCATAGGTGATCAAGAAGATGTTGACTTGGTTTCTTCGCCAGCTACTGTTTGACAAATCTTACTCTCATTCACTGTTCAGAAGAGTTCTCATCCCAACAACAGGAGATTGCTTGGCACCAATAAGGCAAATCACTTGGTACAGTTTTTACTAAGGTTAAATAAACCCATGATGTCAACCAATGCTTTTTGGATGTTTTTTCCAAAACGATGAGAATCCTTTAAAAACAAACAAAAAACAAAACCAAAGACTTGTACTGTCAATCAACAGTTATCTTTTAGGCAAAAGAAGGAACCTTTTAACACTTGGTAATATTGGACTTAACAGAATTAGGGCATGTATTTTACCATGAAACGGGGAATTTAAACCGCAAAAAAATTAATGCTATACAAATTAATCTAGGTTTATGCTATTACTGACTAATGAGTTCTCCATTATGCATTTACTTTCCTACAGGCAAAACTGAGATCATCTTTTGAAATCAGATGCATCTATAGCTTTCTGTTACTTTAAAATAGCCGGGTTTCAGTATTGTTTTTTTATACAAGATTCAGAAAGTGAATAAAAGTGTATGAAGGGTTCAGAAAGTATATGACTAATGACCTAGAAGTACTCAAAGGACAGAAAAACATTTTGTATTTGAGTTCCTATCAGAATCCTGAATTGTTTGCCATAAATTACATAAAGTATTGAAAATGAAAATCACAATTATCAAAGTGCAAACAAACTATGAACTCGTTCTTTTTATTCTAAGTGTCAGATGAATGGTAGGGGGAAGAAATTAAGTTTACAATTATAAATTATTAGCTACATTACGGGTCCTACTACAAAGATCCTACTAATATCAAGGCTATGCACATGAAACACTGCCTTTTCTGTACGGACTTTTGACTTGACTAATAAGTAAAAAACAGAAGGAAATTTAAAGTACAAGCTAACAGGCATCTGAAGAACAATTTGAACTATGAAAAAACAAAGTATTATTTCCTAATCTTTAATGATTAACCAAAGGCACCAAGATCTCTTGGACGAGTTAAGGTCAAAAGATGAAAACTAGTTCACCTATGTAATTCTGAACAAAATCAGCACTATTAAAGTCATGAAAATCTAAAGAGAAGCATGAATTGAAGCTCACTCAAAGCAGGCTTCCGCAACAGCAGGATATAGAACAGATGACATCTAATACATTGTAATAATGGGTGTTACTCTAATAAATTTTTGAATAATTATGGTTCTCAAGCACCGATTATAACTTTTGGGCCAGCATCTTTCACTATTATTTAAACCAAGAAGATTTAAAGAATAGGGAGCATAAGTTTTACTCTGTCTTTACAACTGCAGCCAGAAACAAATCAAAGCAAAACTGTACTAATAAAATACAGGAGACACCCATCTTACTGTTTATGGGACAGACATGAGTCATTCTACATGAGTTCCAGGGAACTACACATGTGTAAAGATGACCTTGGACATGCTTTCTGTATGCTTCAAAGCATAAGTGAAACAGAAATTGGTTTCCTTGTTTCATAAAGCTATTCAATTTATAGCAGTGGAGAGAAAAAACAACCCCAACAAAACAGCACATGTTGAGAAAGAAAAAAACACACATTATGTTGCAAATCCTACTAAATTTTTTTTTAGACAATAAGTAGAACAGTTTTATAAGCAGGTATCAGAACAGATTTATTAAACTATAGGAAAGGACTGACCCTTACCGTCTCAGAACAAGATATTTTGCTGGAGACATGGAAATGGATGGAATTTTCACCCAGGATAATGTAAGAAACACCATAACCATCATCAGCCACCTAGGGGAACAAAGAAGAGAAAAACAAATTCTAAACTTTTTCTTTGTCCTTCCATTCCTAAATTATCTTATGCATAGTTACATAATTCTCACTGTGCAGTTTTTAGAATCAGTTGCAATTTCTCCTCAAGCAAAAATTAAGCTTCCACATTTAATGCATAATTTCTGAAGACTGATTCCACTTAAGGAAACAGTTTCAGTCTCATCTGAAGTGCATGGAATTCACATTTTCCAAATATACATCTGTAATATTTTCCAGCTTTAGTATTTTGAAATAGAATCATTCTAGATCTTCTATCAAGGTCTGGTCCTGAGCTGCTATACAGCTTCAGTGCTAAGTAGAAAGGAATAAAATAGTTCAGTTATATCTGATATCTAAATATCCTATTTCATTAGATTACTCTGTAGATGTAAACAAACACAGTATATAAATACAGAGTTCACAAGCCTTGTATTACAAAAATTTGCCCAAAGGCAAAAGTCATCCTCCTAAACAGCAAATATACAATTCTGAACAACCGTATCATGAGCAGAGCTCTGGTACGATTTCAACATTAGCAGCATTAACTGTCCCAAGTTTCAGTCTGATGTTACATTTAAAGTATGCCTAGTAAACACAGCCTATCCTGCTGCCGCCCTCCTTCCTCTCTTTCCTAACTCAAAGGATCACAACCTTCAAGCTCTTTGCTGCCACTGCTGCTAAGCAGCCTGATAGTCTTCTTTCCATTAGTGCTACAGGGCTATATTCCACAGAATGCTTAAAAAAGCCCGCAAAACTAACAAACAACACACATACATGAAAAGTCTGATGAACTGAATCTCTGGGCCACTTCAGCAAACCAAAGCACAGTTTTTTAAGGATACAAGAAGTGATGAAGGGAAACGTAAGCAGGTTTATTTGGAAAGGCAGACAACTGAAGGAAGGAAATTAAAGGACTGAGGAAATACTAAGAAGAGAGCAGTTGATGTAGGATTAGCAAAAACATAACGAAAAAAGGAATGAAATTCCTGCAGCCAAAAACCTGTTTTATTACCAGATCACACCTTTTTGAGGATTCTAAATACTGACTTTATAATCAGCTGGAGCAAGCCAGTTTCTCGTGAATGAGCAGCACTGCAATAGCTAGGCTTCCTTGATACTGCATTTTAAACTCACTCCAAGAACTACTGAAAGCTTCATCAGAAACATGAATAAATAAATAAATAACCCCCCCCCCAAAAACCACCTTCCAGCTTGAGAAACCAGTCAAAATACACTGTACTTATCCTAATTTCCATGTGACAGAGCAGTCCTTGATCCCTCTCATTGTTCTTTCCACAGAAATGCTTTCTGAAAACAGATTAATCTATAGCCCCATAGAGTCTGCTTAACGATCTTGTTAACAACAATACCATCATCAATGGCCATGCTCAAATCCGGGTAAAATACTAACAAGTCAGAAGCTTGTAAAAACTCTACCAATACACTGGTTTCTTGAAAGTCTACAGAAGCTGTAGAACGTGATTATTTTTGACTTAGCCACTATTCATACTTAGGAGGGCAAGTAGAGCAATCTGAGTAGCTTAATTTGGAGGAAAGCATGAACACATTTTTTAATTGATCAAAAAATATAAAGAACAAGTCAAGTATAATTACTTTTACAAATCCCAACCTTAAAATCTATTTAAAGTAATAAGGCATTTGCCACTGTAATAATAGCCTGATGTACAGAAGCTGTGGGCATAGGTAACGTGATAAAAGCCTCCACTTTGAGATCTCTCTAGCATGGAGCCCTGTACCACACTTGATAACTGTGTATTTCTCAAGAGTAATGCATTCTTATAGTTGAATATGACAAAAAGTTGATGCATATTTTTCTGAGCACATACACGTCATGGGAAAGCATTAAATACATGCATTTAAAAGCACACGTTGCACCTCTGATGTGCAACATTAAGATATTGCAAATTTGAAGTTTTTGTACTGGTATATTCAAAATAAAACTGTTTTTAAAGAGGTACTTGCATTTAGCAAACATACCGGTCCAAATCCTCCACCACAGGATAACATCTCAGGGTGGTTCTTTAGATCAATGTGCTGCTGTGGTGTCTGACTCGTTGACAGCCTCCAAGGCTCTGACAAAACCTTTATTAGATACGAGAGAAACACAAACAAGTATAACACATTGTCTACGAAAACGCAAATTTCTCAAAAACTAGTCAAGTTAGAAAGTACTCAATAAAGCAACATTAAGGATAACTCCAGTTCTAATTTCAAGGGAAGGAACAATTACGAAGATTAAAAGAAAGAGCTAAACTTGTCCTGATATGCAAATCATTAACATATGATGTCATGATGTCGATTCCTCAAGGAGAATAAAAGTTCTTTCAATAGGAATGCTATTTCAAAACAGATTAGTCTGGTTTATAGCCTGGTAAATTCTGCATAACTGGTCTTGTTAACAAGAAGATCATCAATGGCCATACTCTAACAAAACATATGTATCTTGAAAGCATACGGAACCTGTAGAAAGTTGTTGTGTTCTTGACCTAGCCACTACTAACATTTAGGAGGGCAAGCAGACAAATGTGAATAACTTAATTTGGAGATAAGCTGGAACACATTTTTTAATTAAATCAGAAAACATGAACAAGTGCAATACTTTTATAAAACCCAACCTTAAATGTAATAAAGCATTTGTCATGGTAAAAAACAGTGACATTAATGTTGTGCATTAAAAAAAAGAATAAATCACAACATACAGCTCCTTTAATTCACAGGAACTTAAAAGAAAGTGATTTTGTCATGGTTCCTAAAGAACATTCTTGAGAGAAAGCACACAGCCTCTGATGTGCTGCCTTGAAAATATATAAAAGCCACAAGCAACCAATATTTTTTTGGGTAATACTGACTATATCTTCCTTGCGATCCATAATAACATGTGTTATACTACAAAGCTCGCAGAAAGCATTACTATAGGTCTATTAATAAGTGTATATATAAAGCAAAATGAAACTAACTTGTAATCGACCAGCAGATGTTAAAAAATGCTAGCTAAACTCTTACCTCTTTTCTTAGGAAAACCAGAGTTCTACCATTACGTAAGCAGATATGACAAAACACAAAGGATTATTTACTGTAATTAATAGTTACCAATACAAGCCACTTACTTCCTTAAGGAAAGGAGAATCTACAGCAAGGTACTTGGACACGACATAAAGGCAGAACAGATGGCGGTCAATCCCAGCACCAGTCATGGCCAGACGATACAAGTGCTGATGTCTGGCAGCAGCAAGCCGAAAGAACTTAAGCTTGTTTTCATTCTAACAATGAAAAAAAGATGAAGAAAAAAGATCAGTTAAGTGAACTGGGTTGAGGATGGAGGTGCAGAAACTAAGTTACAGCAACGGCTCTCAAGCCTAGAGCACTTTAGGGTCAAGGACAAGACAATGCATGCAACTAACACCAAACACCAGTATTCTCTGGCTTTTCAACCTCATGTATTCAATTTCAGGCACTAGCAACTAATGTCAACTATTACCTGCTGTAAACAGGGCATAATGAAAACAAAACATGTATTTAAGTGTGATCTAACCCCAGAATCAAACATGATTACAACTCAAGTTTAATACTTGTTGTACATTTAGCTTCTAGAGACACTGGTCTTAAAAAGTTATAGAAGAGCAAATCTCAACATGATTTAAAGGAAAGCTGGAACTGCAACAGACACTTCAGAAGGCAAAATGACAACACTGAAGGTACTAGGGTCAATGAATGCTTGTTATTTTTTAAAGGCCTCCTCATAAAGGCTCAGGAGCAGGCAATTCCAAAGTGTCAAAAGTCAAGTGAGGCAGAAGGCCTGCTTTGCTGAGCAGGGATCTTCTTCTAGAACTTAAGAGGAAAAGAAACAATATGGACGTTAGAAGCAAGGACAGGCAACATGGGAGGACTACAGAGCTGCTGTTCGCCCCTGCAGGGAGAAAATCTGTGGGATCAAACTTTCATGTGAGTTCGAGCTGGCCTGTACTGTGGAGGACATCAAAAAGGGCTTGTCACAAACAGGGACACAGGCAAAGCAGAGATATTCAATGCCTTCTTCACTTCTGCCTTTAACACCAATGATGGGCCCCTGTGTTGGAAGACTGTGACTGGGGTGATGATAAACTCCCTGTGACTCTGAACTTGTTTGAGACTTGCTACTCCAGCTGGAGGCCCATAAGTCTATAGGGGTCCAGTGAGATTCATCCCAAGGTGCTAAAAAGAGCTGGCCAAAGTTATTGTGGGACCTCTCTCCATTATTTTTCAATAGTCTTGAGAATCTAGAGAGGTCGTCCCAAATGTCCCAATTTTCAAGAAGGGTAAGAAAGACCACCCTGGTAATTACATGCCTGTCAGTCTCAATTCAGTGCCTGGTAAAATCATGGAAATGGTTACTCTGGGAGTTATTGAAAAACAATTGAGAGACAATGCAGTCATTAGTCACAGTCAACATGGGTTCAGGAAGGTAAAGTCCTGCTTAAACTTTTAATTTCCTTTTATGACAAGGTGACCTATCTAGTTGGCCAAGGTAAGCCAGCAGATGTGCGGTATTTTGGATTGTATCAAAAGCCTTGCTGTCACAGAATCACATAA